ATTCTGCACGGATTAGTCAAGCATCCTTCTGGGGACGCATATTGCTAATGCTGCTATATTTTATGTGTTTTTATTTCCCATTCCCTCTGGCTCTGCTTATTGCTGCTGTATCAGCAGTCTTTCCCCATACATTTTTAATGCTGCTCTATGTAGGGTGGTTTCAGGTCCTCAGATTAGTTGCCGTTTAACAAGCATGTTGTAAGAGATATTTGTGTGTATGAATGGAAGGTGTTTGAAGGACGTTGGTACAGAACTGCCACCCTAACGTGGGTTCTGATGCCATAGTCGGCGATATTCTGTCCGTCATTTGATTTGTATTGTTGGTCACACTAAACCAGTGTTGTGTTGGATGGTGACCATTTGCGTGACAGGACATGGTACATTTTGTAGATTAAAGCAGACACCCCCATAATTGTCTTCCTCCATTAATGTAGCTACTATAGCCAAACAAATACATCCAAGTTCAATATCTTGCCTCATTGATTTTTGTGCTAATGCTTCGCATTCCCTCCTCATCTAAACCTGTGCCGCCATTTTAACTAGTACAACAAAAAACATTTTCCAGCACACTTACCAGCTAGTCTGAAAAAAAAATTACACTAACTACTAGGGTTGAGAAACAGAGGTTTTAGTTGTACAACTTTTGCATAAATGTGGAAGCCGCACTGCCTTGTCAAGGCCCTTCTGTGTATTGTGGTCCTAACTCTAATCTATGTAAGCCTCCATATTGGAGCATATGTAGCAAAGGATGCATTGGGTGCAGGTTCACCAGAAGCTAGCCCATTCCTCCTTTAAGGCACAGGGACATTTAAATTTGTAGACATTGTCCGTGGCCGCTTTCGTCAGCCATGTTTGTGCTTCCCGGCCCCCCGATGTCATTGGCAGATCTCGCACATTCACTGTATGAGATGATCTGCCATGATTTGATGTTTATACATTGCAATGGCTACAGCAGTGTAAGCAGCATGGCACTACCTGATACATTGCTGAAGCCATGGCAATGCATAAACAATAGCAAAGTGCATGTGCAACACCATAACACATCGTCTGTGAAAAGAAATGACTCCCCCCTCCCCGAGATCTCACGTGATCTTGCCATTTTGAAATAAGATCTCCCTGGAAGGCACAGGTGACGTAGCCTTCTCAGGGGCAGCTGGGAGGCCAGGGCTACATCACTAGTGCCTGGGAACATCCAGAAAGTGATTGCAGTTAACAATTTTTTTTTTTTAATGTAATATATTCTTTTATTCTTTTGCATGCAACATTTTTCTTTTACGGTGCTCAGCTGTCAGTGAAGTTGGAGCTGTACATCTTTGGCAGGCTCAGCAGGAGAATGTGGTCATTGCACCATTGGGTTCTCTAATACCTCCCTGCCGACTGCATGTATGCATGCTAATAATGCCTGTGAGTGAAGTGAAGGAAAATGCAAAACTTTGCATAGTTCCCAGAACAGGATTAGAGGGGACATCTTCCAATGGGGACATTTGTTCTGGTGGCAGTTGTCATAAAGGAGAGATTCCCTCTTAATTCCTGTTGTGTGCATGGTAGAGGAAGTGAGGGTAAAACTCCCCAATTAGGGAGTTTTTACTATTCCATACTCTGTCCAACGTGGAATTAAAATGCCTGTTTTTTAGAACAACTCCTCCAGGAAAAAATTCAAAAAACAATCTTGCCCTTGCAGTGGG